GGGTTTGTTTCGTTGAGTCCGGAGGAGCAGCAGCTCATCTCATCAACGCCACTTCAATTTAAAAACGCTCCACTTGTTTATTTTTTCTGTGTTTGACATTTAAAGACATAACAAACTGTTTGGTTTACTGGGTGGCTTTGCGCTTTGATTGTAAATGATGCCATCAACTCTCCACTTGATATCAAGTGAATCCCACAGATTTCAGTGAACACACACAGAGTTTCTGCAGGCGGGAGGGTCAGCAGCACAAACCAACTCATTTCAGACAGAATTAATGAAGAGAGAGAGAGAGTGTTCAGGAAACTCTGCCATCTTGTTTTCTGTTTAAACAGGATAAAGTAACAAGAATAGCATTCGTTTTAGTGACGCTAATCAAGCCGGCTTTGTGTTTTCCTTAAATTAAAATTTAATTCTCCTCTTTTATCTTTTTATTTTATATCCCAAGAGGTATTTATTCTCCAACATGGATTTATTGTTACTTTCTGCACCCTTAATCATTCATTGTGTTTCTTTCTATTCTTGCGTCAAATGTGGGGAAAAAAATGCAAAATGATCTGAGAGAGGGATTTTCTTATCAAATCTGAAAATATAAAAGAAAAGGAGAGAATTTTCTCCCCTTTCAGCCTTTGATGGCATCTACTGTAGCTCAAATAAGATGAAACAGAAAAAGGTCAGCAGAGCTTAAAGTAGAAGAAGAAATGGACGCTGGGCCGASTCTGAATTTCCCAGGTTTATTAAGTTTGACTGACTCACCAACCCCCGAGGAGAAGCCTTCTTTCCTCTCAGACCTTGAAAAGGCGGCGGCAGCACCTTCGGGGCGACAGACTTCCTGCTGAGTTGAACAGAGAGGAGACGCACAAAAACCTTGAGGGCTCGTCCGTAAAATATGCAGCCATCTCTATGTAGAGGCACGAGCCCCCAATTTATTCAAGCTCTTCTAATTTGTTTTTATTACAGGCTGGAAGAGACTCGGGGGCACCTGTGATCTGCAGAAATGAGCCCACACACAAACTGCTCCAACAACTCAACAAGTACGTGCATGGGCAACTTTTTTTTTCCCCCTACATGTTGACAAGCACTTCCCACACAGATATAGAATCTGGTTTCACACGTTCAGACCGAGAGAGTCGTGTTTTTATTGCAGGAACATGAAGAATATGCTGCAGAACTCCAACTGAACTTTAATCATCAGGAGATTTTCACTGATCCAGATTTCAGTTTGTGAAAAAAATCCTTTTTTATATTGGCTACATGTCAGGACTGAACATCATTTTAGCTGTTATGAAATACTTATTTATTCTTTAATCATTTAAAGGAAAATGTAGTTCGTCTCCCAAAGGTTAAAAAAAGTTAAATAACGACAAAAAGACATTTTACTGAGAAATAAACCAAGTGTTAAATCATGGAAAGGTGGGTGCAGAGGGTGCTGCAGCACCACCCTGGTGGACGCAGGACTCACTGTGTAAATGCATAATAAAYAAGTAAAACAAATCTAATCAGGGGCAGATCCAGGATTTTTCTGAGTAAGGGGCCGTCAAGGGGCCACAACATTCATTAGAAAGGCCAAGTACTGGTTTTGGTAAGGTGTATGCATTTTACCAGTGTTCAAACACTGGTAATGTGATGTAATTTAAAAAAGCTTGAACAGTAAATTATCCTTAGCAATTTTACATGTATTTTTACTGTACATAGATAAAATACTTTCAAARGCACAGCATATGAGAAARTCCAGCCATCATTTGTCAGTTGAAAAACTTTCCTGCAAGATAGTTTAGATTTTCTAAAGAAGAAATGAATTCTGTAAGATTGATTCATTGTGGACTTTCCTATTTGACTCATTAGCGCCACTAGTGTTTGGATATGGAAATGCACACACCCATTCTCAGGAAAAGGACAAATGAGTGACAGGACAGGGGCACTTCAGGGGGCCAGTCAGATTTCAGTTGGGGCCAATGCCCCTGTGGTCTGCCCCGTAGAACTGCCKCTGAATGTAATCAAAGCTGCCTGTGTTTAAACTCTGAGTTTGATTAATCTGATTCAGAACAGTTTTCATGTTTGTGTGGAAACATTGAAGCATTTGCAGCTCATTTAGATTTTAAAAATGTCAGATTGTTGCTGAGAAGAAGAACYTTTACATCACTTTGCAGTTTTTCTGTGTAAAAAAACAGTTTTCAGCCTGCGTGCGTCATTTGATGAAGACAGGACTGGATACGACCTTGCAGGAGTCTGAACAAGATACTCGTTTTATTTCATTTAAAGTTTAATAACGGGTGAGTCGCAGAAAAACAAAAACCTCATCTCATCACACATAATCCCTGACGGTTTGCACCAAAATATAAATTTATAGGATTTATAAGGGTTTGATTCATATTTAGATTCAGTGACCTTAGAGTCTGAAAACTGATTAATTGATATTTAATTTATAGTTTAGTCTCTGTAAACACTTTTCTCTCTCTAATTAAGCAGGTTATTGTTGATTCTGATTTTTTGTTGTTGTTTTTATATTTCCATCTGTAAAGCTAGAAATAGTCCAACAACACAGCCTGAGACGTTTGTTTCAGATGTTGCTGAAGGTCTGAAGCGTCTCTGACAGCAGGGTCAGCTACGCTTTAAGAAACTGATCATTTCTGTTCAAAGACTGAAGCAAACAGCTGAGCTGAGAGGTTAGATCCTGTTTCATGAAGCTGATGATGTTGTGCTGTAGGTGTGAAGTGATCATCCAAAACATAAAAAGGGTGATAATAAAGGGAATAACATTTCTCACAGTTTTTTAAACATTAATGTCTTCTTGTTGAGACTCGGATAAAAATCCAAAACACTTTGTTTTCTTTCAGTGGGGTTTCTGCACAGATTCATGTTCCATGCAAGGAATTAAAAAAATTCTGACACTTTTGATCTTTTGACATTATGTCTACAATGTTTGGAAAAATATTTTCAGCTGTTTATGWCATAGCTCTTCGGAGAGAGAGATGCTGAAATGAAATGAGAGAGTGTTGCTCAGAGCCAAATATTCTTATGTATGGAGGAACGAATCTGTCATAATTAGAAATAAAAACAGAAATATATAAGTGGACCAATAAATAAATAAATACACTTAAAATGCACCAATTAATTTTTAAAAGGAGAACTTTAC